AAATTTAATTTTTGCGTGATGTCTGGAAGGGAGATCATCACAAAATTTAGCCAATGAAATCAAACTTCCATCATGCTGATAGATATAATAAAAAAATATAATAATTATTATATAAAAAAAAAACACAAATAAAATGACTAATTAAAAAACCATTCCAGTTTTTTTTTGTGTTTTTGAAAAAAAATCCTTCTTTCAATCTTTTGTTTATATTTTTTTAAATTTTTATAATCATTTTCATCAAATTCTGAATCATTTTGCTGTTCAATATAAATGAGTAATTTATTGATTGCCCCCAAGGCATCATTGTCGCATACAATAGCTTCTGGTTCATCAGTATCCTCACCTGATTCATCATTTACTTCATTTACTTCATTTAAGATCATCTCAATTATTTCATCTTCATTTAAAATCTCTTCTGTTTAAGTCAATTCATTATTGTTAATAAATTCCAAAACATCCAAATTATTCCCAATATTTGGCTCATTTAATAATCACATAGCTTATTTCTATTATTTTGTTCTTCAATCATTTGATTATTAACTGCTTTGTTGGTTGTTTCTTCATTTGTAGTTGATAAAATCTCAGTTTTGTTCCAGCAATTAACAATTGTTCTTTGTTTAACAGCATCTCATGCTTCTCCAATGTAATCAACTTCTTCTTTTATATTCAATTTTCTAAATTTAAAATTTTATTAGAATAAATGAAATAATTTACAAAAATAAAATAAATAAATAAAACTAACTTTTCTAAATTTTGTCTTAACTCAAATTTTTTAATAAGATTATGAACATATAATTGTTTATAATTAACCTAAAATTTAATAATTTAGTTAAATACTTTATACAACAAAAAATATTAATTTTATTATAACTACATTCACCTTGTAATTATTAATGATGCCAGCATCCATGGGTTGTAAATGAGCAGTTGTGTTGGGTGGCAAAAAATGAATCTTAATATTAGTTAATCGGAAATCATTACTTTGTGCACTTATTTGATTTTTCAATTGTTCATCTAACAATGAGCCTGGATCTGTATGGGATGGTGCATTATCAATTAAAAGTAATATGTTCCTATTTTCCACTCGAAAAACAGTATCTAAATCCCTTAACCATTTTTCAAAAATGTCAGTGCGCATCCATGCTTTTGGAGTAGATTTGTAAATTACAGGTAATAAAGACATGTTAACATTATTGAAACATCTAGGTTTAGCCAATTTTCCAATTACAAGTGGTTTAAGTTTTCTTGTGCCAGTTGCATTTGTTGCCAACAATACTGTTAGCCTGTCTTTATTCTTTATTAAAATTTACAAGTTTAAATTCAAATTAATTTTAATTTGATTATTACAAATTTAATGAAACTTAAATTTTTAAATAAATAAATGACCTTTTTTTTTCCTAATATTGGACCACTAGCAAGAGTTTGATTTGGAGACATGTAATAAAACAGACCTGTTTCATCTGCATTAAAAATATTCTCCAAATCATATTTACTAGTCACAGTTTTTAAATTATTTCGTAATAAAGGTAAAATTTTCTAATGGTGCACTGTTAGCTTCTCCATGAATTTTAACAGCTTTTAAATTATTTCTTTGCTTAAATCCACGTAACCATCCATTTGAAAAAGTCAATTCAGTTTTTTCAATTCCTAATTTTTCACCAAAATTTTTTGCCTTTTCAGCAACTAAATTATCTGTAATGATTAGGCCACTTGCACTGACTTGTCCAATCCATATGTTCATTGCTTTTTCTAGTTCAGGAAACCTCACTTTTCTATGGTGAAAAGTATTATGATGGGATGTAGATGAAACATCTAGCCATTTTTCTTTATCATGTAAAATTTTTGTTACTGATGACCTATCAATATTCAATGAAATTTTTTCACTAAAATAATTTGCAATTTCTTGAAAATTTTCTTGATAATATATACAAATTTCTCTTTTTAATTGCTCACTAATAGCTGTACATTTTTTTTTTTTTTTTTGGTTGAGACATGGTAATGATAATGATGGTAATGTTAATAACAACAATAATGGTAATGGTAATTACAATGTCAATGGTAACGATTTATTAAACTTCAAAAATTCAAAAATTCACACGAAATTCAATTAGCCAATAATATTTCACAGTCACGTGAATTGGTGATTATATATGGGGGCTGTTCTAGGAAAAAGTGGGTTTCTTCAGATTTTTTGTTTTTGAGATATTCATAAAAACAAAAAG